AATATGAAAATGAAAATGAAAACACATTCTCTTTTAAGAAGAGAAAAATGAAAACAATAAAAATTTTTACTTACCAAACAGACAGGTGTTTCCTTGGTTATGCTTCAAAAATGGTAATTTATTTCAATAATAATAATAATTTAAATGAAAGGGGTTTGGTTTTTTTTTTTTTATAATAAAATATTAAATTAAAATTTTATAAATAAAAAAATACACACAGAGAATTTACCACTTTATATGGTTTGATACCATTTAATTTTAAATTAATTGATTTTAATGTGATTTTTGAATATAAAAATTTAATAAAAAAATTAATAATAATAATAAGCAAACGTATTTCTACAATCACGTGCCGCCTTCATATTTGCGTTTTTCACGATATATAGCTTAATGGTCACTTGCACATGGTCTGTCCCTCTCTGCTACTGTTCTCAGAGTTGTTGAATGCTCGCCGTCTCTTCCATTTACTTTTATTCTCCGGTCACAGATTCAGGTGAACGAAGTTTTCCTTATTTATTTGATTTCTCCCTCAATGCTGCAGAAATTGGTTCCAATTGTACAAAATGCTGGAGATTATCTGTTTTTCATTGTTTTTTCTTTTATATATATATATATATATATATATATATGGAACAAGCAGCTACTAGCGTTTAGCAAAAATGTGGAAGCTGAAGTTCGCCGAGGGAGGAAGTCCGTCGCTGAGAACGGTGAATAATCACGTCGGAAGACAATTTTGGGAGTTCGATCCTGAGTTCGGATCTCCGGAGGAGAAAATGGAGATCGAGAAGGCTCGTCAGAACTTCTACAACCATCGGTTCGAGAAGAAGCATAGCGCAGATCTACTTATGCGGTTTCAGGTATTCGCCTTCTTTCTCTGTATAACGTTTGCTTATCTGACATTTCAGATTTTCGCCAGTTAAATGTTATAAGATTCACTCTTCAATCTTTATCACCTGTTTGGTCAATGATATATGCCACAAGCTAGTGGACAGTGTTAACTGTGTTAGTGATAATGAGTAATGACAATGGTTGGATGGAAGAGTTATTTATTTCAATTGTACTTTCCCAACGTCCTGCATAATTGCTCAACCCAATAATAACGAGTACTTCGCTTGTGAACTTACAAACCACTTATTTTTTTGTATCTCTTATCAGGTAATTCTGACACTATCCATTAATTCAATGCCTTTGATTTTGGGATTTCAGTGAATCTCTATTACTTGTAATGGATGATATTTAGAGAGAAACAAAACTGTCAATGTAACATAGCTATTATAAATTCGATTCTTATTTCAGTGTATCTTGTACAATAGGGTTCTTTTTATTGCTTCTCCTTATTTGTATATGTGGTGTTTAAAATTGTTAATGTTCCAACTTATTTATCCAGCTTCTGCTGCATTAGTTCTTTAGTTACCGGTTTATATTCTAATTCAAATTTTTTGCCTTTCATCCTTTCATCCCATGAAACAGTTTGCAAGGGAGAATCCTGTTGCAAAATTTCTACCTCAAGTCAAAGTAAAAGATGCAGAAGATATCACAGAGGAGATGGTTACTAACACATTGAGAAGGGCTATAAATTTCCATTCCACTATTCAGGCCCATGATGGGCATTGGCCAGGGGATTATGGAGGTCCTATGTTTCTTATTCCTGGCTTGGTAAGTAGAGATTTGGTAACGTGTGGGTATTATGTGTCAATTAATATATGTGACATCTAAAATATCTTCTCATGCTGCTGCAGATTCAGGAAATATTTTATTTTGCTTTCTGTAAATTTAGGATTGGGAGCAAGGGAGAGGGAAAAATGGAATTTCCAGTAGTTTTCTAGAAGCCAGTTATTTGTAATCTCATGTTAGTCTTGATATAAAATACACTTGTGCTCATTTGATTTATCAGGTAATAACTCTGTATATCACTGGGGCAATAAATGCATTATTATCTGAAGAACATAAAAAAGAGATGTGCCGATATCTCTATAATCATCAGGTAAGGCACTTTTTATTTTTTATTTTTATGTTTCTGTTCTTTTTTACTTTATATTTTGAGCTTTCCATTCTTCTTCTACATGTTCATCTTGTTAATTTAATCAACAGTTTCCATTTTCTTTATGAGTTTTTTTCTGTTTCTCTCATAGATATACCTGCTTTAAGTTGTGATTTATATTTGCACTTTGCAGAACAGAGATGGTGGGTGGGGATTACATATCGAGGGTCCGAGCACAATGTTTGGATCTGTCTTGTCTTATGTTACATTAAGGCTCCTTGGTGAAGAAGCTAATGATGGTCAAGGGGCAATGGAGAGGGGAAGAAATTGGATATTGAGTCATGGCAGTGCGACTGCAATAACATCATGGGGAAAAATGTGGCTTTCAGTTCAGAACTTATTCTTTAACCTATTTGTTTTCCTCTTAGTATTTATGGTTTAGTTACCTTGAGCATCTATTAATTTTGGTTGTATTTCTTGTTGGAAATAGGTGCTTGGAACCTTTGAATGGTCTGGCAATAATCCACTGCCCCCTGAGATATGGCTTCTTCCTTATATGCTTCCAATTCATCCAGGTCCTTACCCATTTGTGTGTTCTTCCTTGATTAAAATTTGTGGTTTGATATATTACTGAGGAAGCTCAGCATATGCTTCATGTGTACCTTTTTTATCCTAGTAATATATTATTAGTTAGCTACTTGTGAAAAGATTATGATTAGGATAACTATTGTGTGTGTCCATGTATGGACATGTATATCAAAGATTGAGTACCTAACAAATTGCTGAAAAGCTGATAATTCCTAAAATGTTGCTGGTTGGAGATGTAGATGATTTCCAAGTGGTGTTTACCTTTTATAGAAGCAAAGGTACCTTCTAAGAGTGCAGCAAGGTTGGTTGGTGACAACCAATTAACTTGGTCAGAGACTTTACCCAATTAACTCTAGCTTTAGGAAGTTTACTAATTAAGGATTTAAACTTTTCAGTCCTAATTGAGGATCTCAACTTTCCATTTTTCCCATTCAAGGGCTTGAACTCACCAATTTTCCTATTCAAGGACTTAAATGCTGACAACCTCTGGTCATAAGAGATGTCATTAATAAGTTTCAGAATAAGAGGGTGATAAACCTAAAACGTGATAATTCTTACAAGGTTTTACACTTTTGACATGTTAACATGCATTCTTTTAACTTCATTTCTCACTTTCTTGTAATATGGTATCAAACAAGAGAAAGAGTTTAAAGAATTGTGTTTTCTCTTGAGATACCTGGTGCTTTCCAATCTACAGACTTGAGTAGAGAGCTTTCACAATATCTTCTTTTGTTTCCATAAGCAAAAAAAATCAAAAGCACATGCCTATTAGTTCTAGCCTGAAATTAATGGTAACATTATTTTCCCTGAACTGCAGGAAGGATGTGGTGTCACTGCCGAATGGTCTATTTGCCTATGTCATATCTATATGGAAAGAGGTTTGTTGGTCCAATCACACCAACAGTTTTGTCTCTTAGAAAGGAGCTTTATAATGTCCCTTATCATGAAATAGATTGGAATGAAGCTCGCAACCTGTGTGCAAAGGTTGGTGAATTAATGTGTGTGTGTGTGTGTATCATTTTAAATATGGTTAGAGGGTCTCAAAACCTTTATAAGTGTCCATTTTTTCCATTTTGGAAAATTCCAAAACTTTCCTCATCATAATTTTTTGGAATAATAATATTTTGGTGGTGTATTCTGCTTCCATGTTGACAAATGTAAATAATTTCTCATCTTAATCTTTTTCAATGGTTTTATTTTTCTCTTTTGTCAGGAAGATCTGTACTACCCGCACCCATTAGCACAGGATATACTTTGGGCAACACTTCACAAGTTTGTTGAACCTGTTCTGATGCATTGGCCTGGAAAAAGGTTAAGGGAGAGGGCTCTCTCTACTGCAATGGAGCACATACACTACGAAGATGAGAATACTCGTTATATCTGCATTGGGCCTGTAAACAAGGTCTGCATTTGAAAATTAACTCCTAATAATGGAAAAAGGAAGAAATTATAAGAACTCTAAAATGCCAATTGGTTTAAATCTTCTAGTTTTTTGCACCACTCAGATGACTAATATTTTCTTGTTTAATCTTGCTTGTATTTTTTGCAATGTGTATCATATGATGTAATAGCCAGTACTTAGTGGACCTCATGCATCCCTTTGTACACCTTTCCCTTCTTCCTCCCAAATTTCCATTTACTTCTAATAATTCACCCTTTTCCTTTTCCTTTCCCTTTCCCTTTCTTTCTTCTTTTTTTTTTTTTTTTTTTTTTCTTTTTGATGATAGGTGTTAAATATGCTTTGCTGTTGGGTTGAAGATCCAAATTCAGAGGCTTTTAAGCTGCATCTCCCAAGAATTTATGATTATCTGTGGCTGGCTGAAGATGGCATGAAAATGCAGGTAACTCCATCATTAATAATATCTGCTTTTGACCTTACCTCCTCTTGTTTGCTTGGAACAAATCTTACCTGAATTTTTGGAACTTAGTAACATATAAATAGAAGTTCCAAGTTTTGATTTGTGATTAGCCAATATTTTTAAAGGTGGCTTCTTTTGGGGTTTAATGTGTGAAACCATTACAAAATATTAACTATAAAGATCTATATGTTATAATTATCACTACATGCAGGGTGCTACCTTCACACTGCTTACTGAGATCATGACAATCTATAGTAGGTAATTTGCTGCAGGGTTATAACGGAAGTCAACTATGGGATACTGCTTTTGCTGTTCAAGCAATTATATCAACAAACCTTGTCGAAGAATATGGTCTGAATCTGAAAAAGGCACACATGTTTATTAAAAATACACAGGTGCCTTTATATAAATTTACTCTAATTTTTGGTAACAATCTTGAAAATTTTTATTTTGTGGCTCCTATGTTTTTCTTAATCAACATCCTTTCACCTTTCTCTTAAGGTTTTAGAAGACTGCCCTGGTGATCTTAGTTTTTGGTACCGCCACATTTCTAAAGGTGCATGGCCTTTCTCAACAGCAGATCATGGATGGCCAATATCTGACTGCACATCTGAAGGACTAAAAGTAACTATACATTGGATTCATGGAAACTTCTCTTGCTTATATATTTTTCCTCAAAACTTTTTCACTTTGTCTTTCTTTTACTTTTTCCCTAGGCTGCTCTCTTGCTATCAAAATTACCATCAGAGACTGTTGGGGAGCCCTTAGAAGTGACGAGATTATATGATGCTGTAAATGTTATTCTTTCACTTCAGGTAACTCAAGATTCTGCTCTCCTGTCCTGGATTCACTTACCTATAATGCCTATTCTCTTCCTGTTTATTGTCTGACTATTTTTATTCTAAAGCTCTATATTATTGCTTCCAGAAAATTTCAACACTTAATTATCTGACATTCAGCAACTATTTTGTTATCAAAACCCTGATTTACAACTTCAATTAATTGCAGCTTATATAACCATTCTTCTTCGACTTTGATAAATACAATTGTTTTCTGTATAAATTAACAAAATCTCTTTTGCCTTTGTTTCCATTCCTTGAAAACTTGGTGTCAATTGAACATTCCTTTATGAAGAATTTGAATTGATAGGGAAAAATGCAAATTGCGTTCTGTATGAATGAACAAAATCATTCCCCCCACTCCCCCACATTTTGTGCCTGTCCATTGATATCCCCATATATGTGTGTATATTCTTGTATTCCTTGGAGACTTGGTGTCAATAGAACATTCCTTTATGATGAATTTGAATAGATAGGGGAAATCTAGTAAGGTGATAAATCCCATAAATGTGAAATTTTCTTGGAAGACAAATAAGATGAGATAGGTAAAGGCAATAACTACCTAAACAGTAAACATGGGTACCTGATTAAATCATGTTGTTTTGCCTCTTCTTCTTTCACCCCTTTTTTTTTTTTTTTCTGCTGTTCTAGTTATATCTGTAGAGCAGTTTATTCATGAGGACGTTCTTGATTTATTAATGGGATTTACTTTCATATCTTTGCAGAATGCAGATGGTGGCCTTGCAACATATGAGCTCACAAGATCATACCCTTGGATGGAGGTAGGCTCAAATAAGCTTTCTTGATGGGCTTCATTTCTTTTCCTTTGTTCCTTTTGTCTTAGAACTTAAATATACTCTTTGATTTTATTTATTTTGAAAGATCTGTTCAGGGGTTACTGATGACATCTATCTAAAGAGCTCAAAACCTTAAACGCCCCAACTTGAACTGACCTTTAAGTTTTAATCACCACCCCTACCATTTTTGTAGGACAAAAATTTAAGTTTCTAATATTTTGTATGGATTCTGAGCAACCTTAATTTGAAGCATCAGTAAAAGGGCCTAGAGGGGCAATGTTTTGATGAGCTCAGTTTTTCGGCTACTTTAGAAATATATAAGAACTTAGGATATTCAGGCTGGTCAACCGGAAAACAGAATGCATGCCATTAGGTCATGAAAGGTGTTATGTGTGTGTGTCAGCAGATCAAAGTCAATAACTCAAAAGTAGGTGGCTTATCATCTTATGTACGTTTATCAGCAGAAATCAGTCCTGTCAATCACCTCTGGTAAATTTTGTGACTTGGCCTTAAAATATATATTTAATAAGCAAATCTGTTAGTTTGCTTACTGCAGAATTAAGGCTACCAACTCACCAATCCCTTTGTTGGTTCTTGGCCTTGAAACATTGAATCCATTGCATTGCAGTAGTTCTGTCTCTAACTTATGTTTTGTTTATATTGCTAGTTGATCAACCCAGCTGAAACTTTTGGCGATATTGTCATTGACTATCCGTAAGATTTCAGTGCTTGAGTTTAAAAGTTCTCCATTCATTTCATTTTCCTTTTTGGTTTAAATTGAATTTGTTTTTTAATATTATTATATTAACTTTAAGCTTTTCAGTTATGTGGAATGTACTTCAGCTGCAATACAAGCTTTGACATCATTTAGAAAATTATATCCTGGGCATCGACAACAGGAAATAGACATATGCATCAAGAAGGCAGTTAATTTCATCGAAAGAATACAAGCCTCAGATGGGTCATGGTTTGCCACTAACTACCCCTTCATTATACAATGTTAACTGGGTTCGGGAGTTTGTTATTTCTTTTGGTTTTTTTAGATGAAATGTTCAAAAAGAATCAGACATTTGCCTGATCAAGTTATTCAAGTGTCATGATAGTAATACTATATTGCTTCCTTTTTAGGTATGGCTCATGGGCTGTTTGCTTTACCTATGCTACATGGTTTGGGGTGAAGGGGTTGGTAGCTGCAGGAAAGAACTTTGAGAACTGTTCTAGCATCCGCAAAGCCTGTAAGTTTCTGTTGTCAAAACAGCTTGTCTCAGGAGGCTGGGGAGAGAGCTATCTTTCATGCCAAAACAAGGTTAGCTTCATTGTCACAGATAATTGAAGAATTTAATCAATTCCTCTGCTTGAACATTTTGCATTCATTTATTTGGTTCTCCTTTTTATTATCTTTACTATTAGTATTAATTATCTTAATTGATATGTAGACCATCATTTGTTTGCTCAATTTTTCAAATGCTTTTTCCTTACAGGTTTACTCAAATCTCGAAGGCAACAAGTCTCATGTGGTAAATACTGGCTGGGCCATGTTGGCTCTCATAGATGCTGGACAGGTAAATAAATTTTATTGCAATATTTCCAAATGATGAAATGGATTAACCATTAAGTGTGTTCCAGGATGTTTTTTGGGGCGACAGTTATTTATTTATCCTTGTTTTGCCACAATAAAGGGAGCTTTATATATATTGATAATGAAATTGAATCCTTTAATTGTATGGCAGCTTTGTATGCTCCGACCAGGTGATATATTACTGTGATTTTAACAAAGATTGATGCTGAAAAATTTTTTTTTTTTTTTTTTTTGTTTCTTCCATCATCTTGCCATGGTTATAAAATGAAAATTTTTTTTTTTCATATACCTCTGAAATATTGGAACAGGCTGAGAGAGATCCAACACCAATGCATCGAGCAGCAAGATATTTGATAAATTCCCAAATGGAGAATGGAGATTTTCCTCAACAGGTAACGTGTAACCAACATTTGTGGGTTCACATTTACATGTTTTATCCCTTTTTTCTTCCTTTTATACGAAGAAATATTTAAATACACATTCATTCTTAAAAATAATTGCATGAAAAGTTCGAGTCTTCGTTGTGCTAAGATTGTTTATACGGAATTGCAGCGTTTGCCAGGAAACCATTATCTTAAATCAGCATATATGCTTCATCTTGTATTGTTCTTTTTCAGGAAATTATGGGAGTCTTTAACAGGAACTGTATGATCACATACGCTGCGTACAGAAATATCTTCCCGATTTGGGCGTTGGGAGAATACCGTACTCGCGTCTTGCAGGCTACCTAACAGAACAGCCGCATCATTCCTTTAGCATTGTACTACTTTTTTATGTTGCTTTCTGATGCATACTTGGGTTGAGTCCCTGAAGCCTTTGACCGTCCTTTTGTTGTTTCGAGTATACCAATCGTGGCCATTGTCAGTGCACTGCGCTTGTGAAAATAATTAGGCCATTGTCTTAACTTTGGAGCTCAATACAACCAACCTCTTTAATAAAATTCAATGCAGTCTAGTCCTTCAACTTCAATTTGGTAATAATGTCTTGGTAATTTGGCAAGTGTTGAATTAATTAGAAAATGGAGGAAAGCTCGACCTAAACTTATGTTTAAAACAAAAGAAAAATCTTTTCAAAACTGAAATAAGCACTGAAGTTTCAACTTTCAAGTGGTATTGTTGGAACGTGCTAGCAGCATGTTTTTATTTTTAAACTTGATAGACGCTATAATTAGTTTTGTGAATGGGTTTTATAATCTTAACATTACTTTTGCAAAACTAATGATTGAAGAGGTTTAATTGTGTATAAGCAATTTTTCTAAAAAAGAAAAAAATAATTAAAAAAAAAAAGATCTTCTGTAATGTATAATAAAAAAATGTTATTTAAAAATTTAAATTAATTATAAATTATGAATCATTAAATTAAGAGATTATTATTCTCAATAATATCAAAAAATTTATTTTTATTTAATAATTTATTATATATAATCTAAAC